CCATTGAAAACTAAAGACTCAAAATCGTGCAACAGCTAGGGGACTCAGATCCACAACCCACAGATTACGATACAGATTTTTAACCTTGTGGCAGGAGTCATGAGTAATGCTGTTCCCCAGCCTTGCACCCAATCTCCTGCCTGGTAGTGCCACATATGCTTTTTCCACTGTGAAGTAGTGGGGATGAGTTGAAATGGGTGCCGCCACCTATGGAAGCAGGCCTGAGGCAGGAATGGAGCCAGTGTATGAAAATGGTTGCAGGCTAGGACGTCTGCCTCAGCTGTTTGCAGTAATTTATAAAACTGGGTCATTCTCCCAAAGTCCAGTTGACATCCCCAATCGTACACCCGATCCCCCCGACCCCCCACCCCAACTCACCCACAACCATCTACACCATTGGGTATAATGGCCATCTTTTCAGCCTGCTTCAAAGGTTTAAAAGTATTCAGTTCTGAGCCAATGTATGTACGGTTTTGGGAAGGAATCCTACTATGAATATTTGAGTGAGCTTCAAGCCCTAATCATGTATCAGCTCTGTAGAGACTGTTCACACAGCTGTGAAGGGTGCCTTGAATAACAGGCACTTTTACAAGCTGCTATGAGAGATGTGCATCTCTGAAGTGGCTTTTTGAATTTTCTTTAATTGTTGTGACGGACTTATGAGCATTTAACAGGCTTAATTCTCTTCTTCAAAGCACGTTTGAATAGATATTTATTTTGACAGTTTTATGAGCATTTCAAAAGATTTCCCAAGTTACTTAAGAGATCATGAGTTCTGCTAAAATTGGATTCTAGAAGACTGTTCCAAAGGCTCAACAGATCTTTGGACTTTAAACTAGTGATAAGATGAAAGCAGCCGTCCATAAGGCATATTAAATACTCATTCTCAATCCTGCTGATTGGAGAAGAGAACCCCATCTATTAGACAAAGTTCTCTGATATGAGCACTTAGGCAATGGAGGTTAATTTCAAGGTAACTTACATTTTAAGGACAGAGACCTATCACTGCATTAGAAACAAACTGTACTTAAACCATACAGCAACTACTTATAACAACATGTTCCAACTAGGTACCTTACAGGCTTCAGGACGCAACACAGAGTTTAATAATTTCATAAAGCAAACACCCTCCTTACGTTCATTTGCCTTCCCTCACATCCCTTTGCCTATTTCTTTTAGCTCTCTCCCTCTTTGCACTGTTTTCATGTACTCTATTAATCCACACTGCCCCACACCTCATCATCAACATAAGTCACCAAACTTACACAAAACTGATTTAATTCTGAACATTCTTGACTTCTCATAGAATAGAATCATAGCATCCATAGAGCGTGGAAGCAGGCCATTCAGCCCATTGAGTTGACACTGACCCTTTGAACAGCATCTCAACCAGACTCACTCTCTACCCTATCCCTGCAACCCTACATTTCCCACGGCTAATCCACCTAACTTACACATCCCTGGAAACTATGGGCAATTTAGCATGGCCAATCCACCTAACCTGCACATAGATCATACAATTGCTACAGTGTAGAAACCGGCCATTCGGCTCAACAATGCCACACTGACTCTCCGAACAGCATCCCACCCTAACACTAGAACCCTGCATTTCCCATGGCCAATCCACCTAACTTACACATCCCTGAACACTATGGGCTATTTAGCATGGCCAATCCACCTAAGCTGCACATCTTTGGACTATCAGAGGAAACTGAAGCACCCGGAGGAAACCCATGCAGACATGGGGAGAATGTCTGCGTGAAGTTTGCACAATCGCCCGAGGCGGGAATCAAATCCGGGTCCCTGGCACTGTGAAGCAGCAGTGCTAACCACTGAACCACCGTGCTGCCCCTTCTCAATGCCAAATTACGGAAGAGTGTTATTAATGACTAGAGGAACGGTTTACACAAACTTTTCTACATCCCATTCAAAGTTATGGTTTGAATTTACAATGATGTATATTTAGAACTTCATTATCAAATGACAGAATACATCTCAAAATAACAATTCTTTCTCATTACCAGGACACACTGAAGATAATTTATTGCAAGGAATTAATGTGATGAGAGCAATCTAATTGGTTCACTACTATGCTTCAGCCCTCAGATAGATAAGCATGGATGTATTCACTGAATGATTCTTGGCAAGTGTTAGTTCTTTTTTAAATTGGATGCAATGCTGTCTGGAGAGTTTTTCTGACACTTATATACACGTCCCAACATTAAAACAGAACCAGCATCAAGTTTTAGCTTGGCAAACTGATAGTTGTAAAAATTTCAATTCTAATGCAACACGTAGTGCAAAATGTTGGCCAATCAACCCAGAATATCAGAAGGAATTCTATTTGTACGTAATGCATTCCCCGTATCAATACAATCTTTCTGGGCATGTGTACTGGGCTGGACCTCTGCATTATAGTACTGCACGTTGACACTCCCAATATATATCATAATTCTTCATGCCCCTCAATCCTATGTAAGAACATTAGAGATCTAGCATTTAGCAGGTATATTTCCTGACTGCCATCCTATTTAGTCCTCAACTGTTAGGTGCATTTTACACTATGGGTTAGCGTTTTGATGAAAACTCTCCAGTTATTTGAAACTACTGTTAACCACTGTCACTGCTTTATTATAACGTTCAATATAGTTGAAATTGGGTTTATTAAAATGAAGAAAGGATCATTAAATATCCTTTAATTACATCCTTGAAATCAGATCTGGTCTCCCAGTAAAACATTTCCATTACAATAAATTCCGTAATGATGTAAATGATAAAAGTTCTGGGTTTGGGGCAACTGTCAGTATCATGACCAACTGTCAGTTCACATGAAAGGATTATACATTGCAATTCTGTCACTTCATAGTTATTCAGATGTAATCTGCACTTGCTGAACAGGAAGCTGTATTAAGGAAGTAACATAAAAAACCGTGTATTTCATAGCCTTGTAAAATACCATAAGGGTTTGTCTGGAAATACACTCAACTATGTTAATGATTATTTTGATAAACATTTGTATAGAACTAACTAGAATATTAAAAGTAATCTGAAGTTCCGAAACCTGCAATGTTATCTTGGTATAAAATAGAAGAATGTGCCCCACATATTGCCAGTATCTGCTATATGCAGTACCATAAAGTGTTCACAATTATATTTGATATGATTTCCCGATCAAAATGTCCGATTGTCTGAGTGCTGATGGGAGGGCGCCAGAGGGAGAAAGCCACAACTCCGGACAGAACGATAACCAATCACCTCTTCAGCACATCATCAACAATGGCTGGTTCTCTGCTACCTTCAAAATTGCAGCTCTTTCAGAGGTGACTGACTTCCTGTTCATTGGTAAATTTCTGGACAACAAAATACATAAAATGGGCTCTGCCTGCATTATACCAGGGTGTCTTACACTTCAATCAGCTCATCTACAATCAACACCCTGAAGTGGTACATGCATTTTTACTCATTTAACATGCTACCCTGAAATAATATAAATTTGTTGTCCTTCAACATCTGTTGAAGATGGCTTCCAAATGACTGCAAACAAAATACTGGAATTGCCACTTTTACGCAGATTAGGTTTCTCCATAAAGTATTTCAAATTCACTACATAACACTTTGAAGTTAAGTTCCTGCCTATGATGTTTTACTATATTATTAACCCCAGATTAAGAAAAGGTCTGGCAGGAATTTAACGTGATTACACCAACCAATACATGAAAGAGCTGAGAGAGACAAGTTACTTTTCTGCTAGATGCCTCTTTCATTACTTTCCACAATATATCTTTTCTACGTTGCCAGGTTTGCAGGGTTTGAGCTATAGGGAGAGGCCGAATAAGCTGGGGCTATTTTCCATGCAGCGTCGGAAGCTGAGGGGTGACCTTATAGAGGTTTGTAAGATCATGAGGGGCATGGATAGGGTGAATAGACAAGGTCTTTTCCCTGGGGTGGGGGAGTCCAAAACTACAGGCGATAGGTTTAAAGCAAGAGGGGAAAGATTTAAAAGGGACGTAAGGGGCAACATTTGTGCAAAGGGTGGTGCGTGTATGGAATGAGCTGCCAGAGCAAGTGGTGGAGGCTAGTATAATTACAACATTTAAAAGGCATCTGGATGGGTATATGAATAGAAAGGGTTTAGAGGGATATGGACCAAATGCTGGCAAATGGGACTGGATTTATTTAGGATATCTGGTCAGCACGGACGAGTTGGACTGAAGGGTCTTTTTCTGTGCTGTACATCTCTATGACTCTACTGCATCTTATTCAAATCTATCACTTATAGCATAACTTTCAATTCTCTCACATAAAAGACTTTTCCAAATTGTGACTTTATGTTAGATACATTGAACAGCTGGCTTCTAATACTGCTTTTAAATTATTTTATGACATTCCACTGTACTGCAGCGTAAGGTTATGTAACTAAAAGTGAAAACCTCATGATAACAAAATACGGGAATGCTAGTGAGACAATTGGTATTCCACCATCACCCTACCGTAAATAGTGACAGGTACCAAATGTAGAGTTCAGTCTTTAGGTAGGTTAGGGTTGTCTTATACAATATTAATCTACATTATACAGAAAACCCCCTTGTAATTATGATAATTGCTGATTCCTCCAGAGACTCAACTGTACGATACAATAATATTGTGACTAGAGATTGATACAAAATCCCTTTCTAGCCACCAGGATACAAACAACTGTATTAACAGAAAAGTAACCGATGTAAGGCCACCATGATTTGCTTAATATTTATGATCAAGTAAATAACAGAGAAAACAATACAAATGATCGAGAGTTTGAATATCACTCCACAAAGAGATTTCCAACACATTAATACTTTTCAACAAAGTTTCTATCAAAACAAAAATAACATAAGTCTATAAAAAGTGCAAACAAGTTTAGATTTTGTTTACAATGGACAAGAAAAACTATTGCAGATATCGTAGGATCCTCAAGCATACATATCACACAAAGTTAAAATATATAAAAGAAAATGAATTACTTGGTTCAGGTGAAGCCATTGTGGAGACAATAATTGGTGGTCCTGTGCGTCTGGTCACTTTCTGGTTTGCAGTATTCGGCAACCTGTAAGCTGAGCTTGTAGGTACCAGCGTAGATTCCATGTGCGCTCCTGGCTTTCGGAGAATCTGAGGACTACTGTGAGGGCTGTGTGCTGGAGAATGAGCTTGGTTGCGCTCCCTTGTCATTAGTTCAATGGGTACAGTGTAAGTAGTAGAATAGGCAGTTTTAGGACCTGGATTTGGAGTAACCTGTCCTGTATTCATTGCTATTCCAGATTGTGCACTATAGGTAGGCCCCGATCGCAGATTTTGCAGCCCAACAGGATTGCTGTAGCCCGAGAAGCTTGGAAAATGATTTCCTAATCTTCCAGGCCCAGATGAACCATAGGTTGCGGTTTCCAGGAGATGTTGAGATGGGGCACTCGATGGTCGGCGGGTCAATTCAGCAAGCCTGGGTGACATTGGTTGCAATGCCATTGGTAGCTGCTGAACAGCAGAACTATCTATTGTAGGGAGCATTCCTGGTTGGACTCCATAGTCATTACGCATTAGCTCACTTCTGTGGCTGAAGCTGTTTGAACGTGTTCTTGTACGAGTACTGGAATTTTGCAGCTCTTGTCGTAACTGCATGTCCGCTTTGCAACTCTGGACAAGCCGTAACAGCAACCGGGCCTGACCCAGATTTGGAGCCACTGACTTAATGTCATTTTCTTCTAACATAGCTAGGCAGCTTGTTGAATCAAAACCTTGTTGCAGTAAGGCAGCAACTGTGCTTTCAGAAAGCCCCTCTGAGCGCAACAGTGTTAGAAATTCAGCCTTGTTGTCCTGTCCAGGGAGGTGGCCACGGGCTATCATGGTGTTGTCATAACCATCATAAACTGGCTTTGACACCAAACTATCTCTCTGCAAGCTGAAATCAGACATCATTCTAGTTGCCATTCCTTGTCTAGGAGTGTGATTTAATACACTAGGAGACATCATTCTATCCAAAGTGTTCTCACATCGAGATCCAGTGGCAGAATCAACAACTAAACATGTTGGAGCGACCTGTCGGGCACCTGTGGAATCACTGTACATCTGCTTATTAGTGAGAGATGGTGGCTCTGTTCCGTAACGAGGGAGAGGTGTTTCAGCACCATACCTAGCAGGGGAAGGATCTCGACTACGTGTTTTCTGTCCATCGAGAATCAGCTTACCAGAAGGATCATGGTACATACGATTTATCTCAGGACGGGGTGACCTCCCTTGTGAGTGGTCCCATGACATTCTTCCTCCTGACATCCCATAATTCTGCGGTGATCTGTTAAGCATATGTTCCCTATAAAAACGTGCCTCTTCAGATGGCCTAACGCCCAAAGCAGGCTCTGGGTAGTAATCCTGAGGAGGCACTGAACTGCGTCCAGACATAACAGGCTGTTTTTCGTAAGAATGAGAGAAATCAGGCACAGAACTTTTCTTCACAGGTCTGTGGTCATACCGATTGGGGTAAACTTGGTCAAACCCCAAGTCTGAATGCATGTAACATTCGTAGTTATGTTCATTTCCCCCTGTCAAGTTGTTGCTGTGCACTCTGATGCTATCTGGGTCGTCAGAGACAATTTCACCGTAGTAGTTTAATGAATTTCTTCTCCTAGGATGCCTTGCGTATTCACATACACTGTTGTGTTCCCAGTTGTCTTCACAAAATCCACTAGAGTCCCAGCTCTGAGAGCGACCAACAGTTGTATGCTTGCTAGGGACAGGCATTGGAATAAAACGACTTCAGCTTAGTTAAAGAGGCGGGACCTCTGGTTACAAAAACATGAAACAAAGCAGACTGGATTCACCTGAGCCCCACTGGGGCTACAGAACTAAGCAACTGGAGGTTTTCTATTACAAAGTACTGCTTGAATTATTAATCCACAGAAACATCAGTAGAAACAAAACACAACGCACCTTGTTATCAATTCTCATTTCACAGCGACTGAATGAAAGGTCTTCTTTGTGTGCCTGCTTGCAGATGGAAAGGGTAGCTTCCTTTAATCCATACATTTATCCTTTCTTGCTTGGGACACTGCTTTTGTGGGCAACTGGTATGGCAGGGCTCACGGATTAAGCACTAAATTAAACCAGTAAAGCCTTTGCTCTTTGTGACATCAAATCGAGCTCATTCCAAGACTCTGCATTGCTCCTTTTTAATCGGACCACCACAATTTGCTGCAAAATTATTTAAATGGATTTTTGTAATATTTAGGAAATGTATTTAAATGTGGACAGCTTCTGTGCTTTCTGGCAAAAGGGTGGAGGGGGAATGGCACAGAGAGAAAAAAAAACTGGAAATCCCTCACTGTCAGCACAATTCAAATCCAGCTTGACGAGATACTAATCCAGTGAATACAGCTGGAAACAAACTGCATGCAAGTGGGAATGTTGACAAAATAGAAATTTCAAACTAAATAAGCAAAGAATTAGAACTGAAAGGACTTCTTTCAATCTTGACAGTGGAAATATTCCTGTGCCCTTTTGGTTTAGTTACATAATCATGTATTTATTTTATACGCAAAGTTAAATCTAGAAACCTAAATCACACTGAGTGAAGATTCAGTGCCACATCATTACTATAAGATGAAAATCCTCTCATCATCTCACAAGGGAAAATTGCCAGAATGTAATCTGGAATTTGCAGCATTAAGAGCACAGCAGAGGTCAAAACACTCCAGGAAGGAAACAAAAGGGACAGAATTTAACTCTATGTGTGCACAAAATGGCCATGGTGAACAATGCACCGGCTAGCTAAGTTTATGCAGACAATCACAAAGCAAAGATGACACTTAAACTGGAAAGTAACTGCAAATAATCATTTAACAACAGATTTGGCTTTCTGAAAATAGTAATCAATTTTACATTTTGTTTATAACTGTTTAGAAAATATGTTGATGTTGTTATTTTGTCATTCATTGTCCATTAATGAGTATTTCCAACTCAATCTCTCATTGCTAGATGACAATGACAACTCAGAAACCCTGATTCACACATTCCTACCTCTTAGGCCACTGTTGGTCAATAGATCGTGGGATATTCAGGTTTATGCCCATGCTAAGTGTACAGGAGATACTAAAAGGACTCTTGTGGAGATACTGTTGCATCCCTACCTCCGGGCTAGAAACCCTGGGTTCAAGTCACATCTGCTTTAGAAGTGCATCAGAACCTGTCAGGTTGATTAAAAATATCTACAGCAGATACTAAGAACTCTTCAACACAGTTCAGCATAAACTGCAGAGATTTTGGAGTCTTAACAATAACCAATATACTCCAATACTGAAATACTTGAAACGTGCCGACAGTGTTATTTGTGTGACAACACTTGCCAAGTTCCATCTCAATGTACAGGCTGGTTATCATCAGACATATGATCTACGCAAGAGAACTGCTTAACAAAAAGTTTCTTTGTACTTGCAAAGCACAATTAAGAGAAACCATAAAAGTTAAATCAAATGATAAGTTGACCACATTGGCATTGACCGTCGTATTTCCTGCTTGTCAATTTATGTTAAAGTAAAACACCCAAAGCTATTAACATCACTGGGTAAGGCTGAAATTCTGATTTGCTGCTGATGCCAACGGAGTATTATTAAATATGCTTTACTCATTAGAAAAATGTCTGTCACCATGAATGCCATTAAGATGTTAAGCTATTACATTTACTTATAAATCTTTCACTGTTTGCAAAAGATAATCTAACATAATGCTTAAAGAATGCTATTTGTGATAGTGCACGATCCGAAACAGCATTAAACAGATTGCTTTGGAAACAAATAACTTAGCTTTAAGGGTCCTATACCATGATAGTGCAAATTAAACTAGTAACTAACTGTTCAAGAAGATGAAGCTATAATATGCAGTTATTAAAACAATTAAAGTGCCAAAGTGTTTAAATCAATGTGTCATTTAAGTTCACTGCTTTTACTTTGAATAAAAACATAGGCTAACCAGTGGGTATATATTGAGATCAATATTTGCAAAAAGAATGGAAGTGTAATTAATTTCAGAATTAATTAAGAAATTAATAATTAACTAAGAAACAGGACTGCTCCAATTTCCTCAAAAAAATTACAATAATGTGAGAAGAGACCAATCCTTTTGAAACTGGAAACTGTCTTATACGGTCAAAAAGGAACAGATGTGAATGTGCAAAATTTAAATTACTATCAATCATTTGTTATTTTGAATAATATACTTAGGGTGTTGTTGAATTGAAATGTCCCTTTCCATTTCAGCCAGACTGCCAATAGTAATGGCACTGTCACTACTACTGATGTTTGATCTATAGTAGGTGACTTTGTCTAGTTTTTTATTCCCCCCTGGAGTACTGCCACTGATGAAATTTGTATGATTCTCTGTTGTTGAGATTAAACTCTGCTTACGTACAATGGGCTACAGTTTGACAGCTGCATGCCCATAGAGTAGCAAGTCCAAATGAATCAATGACTAGAATGGAAGAAAATGTAGCGGTTTCTGCAGGATGTAACAATAAGCAACACAAAGCATAACTGGCATAGACCAAGTATTATTACTTTAAAAGACAATAATAATAGCAATTTGAAGAATAGTCAGCAGCTAAGAGGTTCTGTAGTAGTTAGCTAGAGTTCCAAAAGATGGTGAACACTCAAATCCGGTAACCACGTAAAGAACAGATAACTGTTCTCACCCAGGTCCATGAACAGGCCATTTCACATGGAACAAATTTAATGTTCAAAGTTGGAGAAGAAGCCGCAGTTCATTTGCACATCTTTGCAGTTGAAAGGGGAACTCGTGAGGTGCACTGCAGTAATTTATGAATGAAGTAAACATACATATTGAATGAGAATGACAACTGAGCAGCCTACCTAAAAAAAAAGTCCAACTGCGTAGCAACAAAGTAGAAACATATCCTCAACATGCCCAAGGCTCCTAAACCTAAGCTCTTACAGTTGAAAACAATCTGAACGATTGGGTAGTAGATTAGTGTGATTTATTTTCAATTTGTCAATACTTCTGAATTTTAGTTTATAAACCTCCAACAGAAGCATTCACAATGTTTGCTACATCAGATCCTGTCAAGATAAATCTCAAATATGTGCTGGGAATTTCTACTGTTCTAATTAGATGACTGCATTTAACAGTTTGTCATATGTACACATTACAGTCTCCTGGGACTTCGACTCATCAAAACTATCAAACAACAAAAACAATTCTGTGATCATAGCACTTCGCCCTATCATTAACGAACACAAATAAAACCATTCCACTGATCAACTATTGCACACAGGCACTGGCAGTGAACATTTGTCGATGATTGTCTAGCAAAAAAAAACGTAGACCATAGAAGTTATATTCTCTATTGTAGGAGTACAGTCAACTAAAGATTTCCCATATTGGTGCACAGATGGGCTGCAAAATAGCTCAGCCCCACATTAAACCAGCACACAGATGCAATCAGCAAATTGGTATACATAACATAATACATGAGCAGGAACTGAAGGAATGGCACGCAGAGGGTTGAATTTTCCCAGTCCTTGAAAGATATGGACGAAGTCAAATCAGTTGCGAAAATATCCTAAGATTGGAAAAATGAGACGCTCGATGTTGAGAAAAAAAAAGTCCAATTTTATACTCAAGGTTTAAACGGCAAGAAATCTATTTGCATGCATTAACATCTCATTATTATCTGCTTGCCTCATCTCTGTGCCGTTTGTTCTTCTCCCATACAGCAGAGATGAAAGTCAGAGCGGATAGCTGGTGGTTCCAGCCTGCTGTTTCCTCTTCTGGGCCTCCAAGTTGCTTTTCATTTCCAATTGTCTTAGGGCACGCTCCATGGGAGCGGGCACCCTCACCTTTCATGCACAGAGGTCAGCAACAGATACACAGCAGCCTCAGAACATTGTCATGACACTTCTCTGACTCACTTACAAAACAGTTCTCCACTTCAATATTGTACTTTGGACTGCACTAACACCTCATCATGAAAAGCTGCTACCAGGCCACTTGCACGCAGGGATGATACCCATCTCATAGATTGGAACATGGTGCTTCTCAAGGTTCTTACCTTGCTCTCTGAGTGACCACTCACTTTGCTTAAACACAGACACTCACGACATCTCTGCTTTGTCTTTCACACCTGTCTGCCTCATTCACAATTTGCAGGGTCACAGTATTTCTGTTTTGCTTCGTCTTTTATCACAGACACAAAGCCAGGTAGCTTGCCATGGTTGTCAGCAACGATCAGTCAAGAGTTAGACATGTTGCTGTATGCCACTGTGCTATGTCAATGTCACACCTACAGTATGCGTCAGCAGCCTTTGTGCCAAATACACTAAATAAGCTTCAATTAAACGGCCATGTCTCAAAGTCTGAGGAGACTGGTCCTTAGTCAGGTCAAGAGAGACTGTCATCAGTCAGGAGTACCAATTCAATAAGTCACTGGGAATTTTCTGACCTCAGTGCAGGAGCTTGGACTTGGTTAATTGGCTGCTTGGGATATTTACAGTCTGGATCATTATCACCATATCACTCCCTGCATCTGACCACAGAATGGATCACACTCTGTCCTGAACAATGACAAGACACTGTGCTCTGCTGGACATTAGGGAAATAGTAGCACTCTCACAGATAAGGTTTTAACAAGGTTTGACGCTAAGGATAAGCAACTAAATCACGTTATTCTTGCAATTGTAATTACAATTAGTCAGTTAGAGAGATGATGATGTAAAATAG